AAAATATTTCTACCCCCCCCCCCCCCCCCCCTCTCAAAAAAATTGTCCTTCAAAACTTGGCGGACACATTAATCCCTGGGAATGTAAAACCCCTTTCTAGTTCATAGAAATCACAATGTTAATATCAAGTCTTGAACACAAGACACGTTAGCCCCTTAAAAGGACCAGTATGATTGACATTTGTTGTTCTTAGGAACTAAGGTGCGGTTTTATGCATTCTTAGGAACTAAAGTATCCACCGCCAAATTTCTCACAATTGAAAAGCAGTTATTCTATAATTTTGTGATAGTATAACAAGACCTACATGAGGTCCATATTCCACGTGAAGCAAATTATAGTGCTGATTTCCTGGCCAAGTTAGTACTTTAGTAGTCCTGGTTGTTTGGAGCATCATCCCACCTCTATTTTAACTTTCTTTTATTGTCTCTGTTCTTTTGTTCTTTCTTTTGTTAGCTCTTGTTTTTGTTCATTTTGTCTTGCTTCTCCACTCACCAAGAAAAGAAAGATATATAACAAAATGGTGAGGCAAACAAACTTGCAATGTTTTAACTAGTCTTAGGTTGTCAAGTATTTCACATTACAAATGTTGGTGAACTTGCATCTTCTTGGCTAGGAATTGAGTCATCTACAATTTTTGGGCAGGCCCTTCAGGAAAGATAATGCTTTTACCTGAGGATGACCCTAATGCTACCCACATCATGATTGCCACCGGTACCGGTGTCGCTCCATTCAGAGGCTATCTGCGTCGAATGTTCATGGAATCAGTCCCTACATTCAAGTTTGGTGGACTGGCATGGCTTTTCCTTGGAGTTGCCAATTCTGACAGTCTTCTCTATGATGATGAATTCAGCAAATACCTCAAGGATCACCCGAACAATTTCCGCTATGACCGAGCCCTTAGCAGAGAACAAAAGAACAAAAATGGAGGCAAAATGTATGTTCAGGATAAGATTGAGGAGTATAGTGATGAAATCTTCAAACTCCTGGATAATGGGGCCCACATTTATTTCTGTGGTCTAAAAGGGATGATGCCTGGGATCCAAGACACACTGAAGAGGGTTGCTGAGCAAAGAGGGGAAAGCTGGGAAGAGAAGCTTTCACAGCTTAAGAAGAACAAACAATGGCATGTTGAAGTCTATTGAGATTCTCTAGTGCAGATTGCAGAGTAGTCCCCTTTGTCTGAAAGGAGAAAAAAACAAAAACAAAACAGAAACATTTTCATTTGGTACATTTCATTAATAATATTCATTAAGCTGCTTGAGTAGCTGTACTTGTTCTGTATTAGTAAATTGCAATGATATATTGTCTTCTTATGGATACAGAATTGAAAATCCATGTCAATGGTGGTGGCAATATTGTAGAGTCCATTTTGTTAAGGGTTTTCATATTTTCTTTAACCAAAATTTTAATTTTAATTTTAATAAGGAGAAAAATGTTTGCAATATTCTTTTTAACATTCTTTTATCAACACTTTCTCTATAATTAGTTAAAATTGATTGAAAATCATAATTTTTTTTTGGGGAGTTTTACTATTAAAGTGAGAATTTCAGTAAATTCAGGTTGCTAGTAATATTTTTTTTATAATCTTTTTAGTATACTTTTTGAAACTTTTATTTAAAATTTATTAAAAATTATAAAATTTTAAGTCACGGCAAATTTCTTGTAATGAAAAGTGAGATTTACTAAATTTTGTAATTCTTAATGAAGTTTAATTAGCTAATATCAGTTTTCAAAAGAGTATTAAAATTGTTGGTATTTTTCTCCTATGAAATATAATCAAGGCCGAGTATAATGAAAAAAGAAATAAAAAAAAATTATGCAAGAGTATTAGAACTTGAATGAGGATGAGTTCCTTTAAATTATTTGGTTATTTAATAATATTGCGAGAATTTTGTCGTATTTCATAACCATCAGCAATAATATGTGATCGACGATGACAAAAAGTCATTATTTACAAAACATTTTACTCAACAAGTCAAGACGTAATCCTTATTATTTTGTTTTATTTTTAAAGATCACTTTATAGTAATATTCAAAAAAGCAAATTAGGATTGCTCTTCTTAACGTGCTTATTCAACTCAATACGAAATAGTATAATGTCTTGTATAATATTCGAATAGCATTATGTTAGGGAAAAAAAATGAGAGGCTCATTTTAGCTATGAACATGTGACTATTTGAGAATAGCTTTTATTGTTCACGGTGATTTTATTTAAAATGAATGAGATTGTTTTTAAGGGAAGATAGTTAATTAAACAAGATTGTCTATAATAGAATATATATTTATAATTTATATGAAAATAATGTAATTTTAACATGACAAAGATAAAATGAAAAAAGAAAAAAGAAAAAAGAAGAAAGAAGTAGAAAGCAATAATGTGAAAAGGACAATGGAGAAAACGGTGCAGGTGCTTTATGGATATCCGATTGTGATAGATAGTCACAAAACAAAACGCCTTTTTCGAAGGTTTCTTACCATGAAATCCTTCCACAGAACATCAAACGCTTAAAACCTAAGCAATCTAAAACAAAAATACAATTACAATTACATCACTCATAACACTTTTCACTTTCCCACACCCAGTATTATTTTTATTCTCTTTGAAAATATTTTTCTTCAGAAATAAAATTCTTAAAACATATAAAAATGTTCAACTATTTAATACAATGTACTTAGTTAAAGTGATTCGACATATAGTTTTTGATTAATAATTATTGGAATTTAATATCCAACTTAAACATTTGAATCTCACAATTAAAAAATAAGGAATTTATTTTTTACTCAAAATAGCTATTTAATATTTATAAAAATAAGGAAAAATATAATATCAATTACACCAATATACTATTTTATTTAAAAAAGCATTGAATTAAAAATAAAATTTATTCTCCGTTTCCCTTCCTTTCAAAAGTCAAGTCCAAAGTCCATATCATACAATGACACTATCTTTATCTTTTGTACTAGATGAATGAAAATTACTAATAATATTAATTTTTTTAAAAGACAAAACTCAGATATAATACCATAAATATTGTTGTTGTTCTTTAATTGAAATTAAAATTTTATTTTAGTAATATAAGCAATTAAAGATGAAACTTCAATTCAAATTGTAAAAAACACTAATAATATCAATATTGTATCTAAGTTTTTAACACCTTGTTTATTATTGAGTAAATTGATTTAAGTTACAATATAACAAAAATAATAGACCTAAGTTTTTTTTTTTTTTTTTTAACTGAAACACATGTATTTTCTGTGAAGAGAGTTTTGCTTTAGGACAAGAACATCACCATTTATGAGCGAAATTTTTTTCTCTCTCATAACTATATAATTAGGATTTTTTTTGGATCTTTACTTTGGTGTAAAATATCTTCTTATCTTGTTAAAAATATATTATCTAACATAATTTTAAAGTTAATCTTTCATGTTTGTGGAAGTATTAAATATTACAAATTTGAGTTATATGATTTCTCATTTGACAATTTTTTATTTTATAATTTTCAATAAATCTTAATAATAATAATAATAATAATAATAATAATAATAATAATAATGGAGTTAGTACTAGAGAGTGTGTAGTGTATGCATAAGGTAGGTGATGTATGTATAAGTTATCTAATCAAATCTAATAAAAGAAATAATGAAAAAATGATGTTAAATAAAAGTATTGCTTGCGTGTATATATATATATATATATAATAATATAAATCCCATTGTGACTACCATTCTCTTCCGTTTACCGATCCCACGATTCTGTTTCTCCTGATGCCGTCGCTCTCGGGACTCGCCGCCGCGATCCTCATCGCGATCGCCCTACTTCTCGCCGGACACTCCGCCGCCCGCGATCTCCGCCCCTCGGAGCACGGCCTCGTGTTCCAGGCCTCGCCGCCGGCCAATTCATCGCCGGAGATGAGGTCCTTCTTCAGCACCGCCAAGGGCTCCTCTCCCTCCGGCGCGCCGCTCCGGAACGCCACGGAGTCCCTGCCGCCGTCGTGGTGGGGAGTCGGAGGCGGCGGCGGAGGAAGAAGCCCGGTGCGACGAGCGTTGACGACGGCGAGCTTAGTGTGCGGGATCACAGGTGGCGCTCTGTTAGTGGCTTCGGTGTTACTTTATCTGTTTAAGCAGCGAAGAAAGCAAACGCAAAACGAATCGTTTGGCACTTGTAATAATAATAATAATAATAATAATATTAATAGTAATAATTATCTTAATGATGGCAATAACAAGCTTCAGATTGTGCCAGTTGTACGCAATTCTTGACTTCAATTCCCACTCTCTACTCTCGTGTGTAAATGATGGATGTTCCTCCTTTTCTATATTTTTTATTATTATTGTGTACTATTATTTTTTGGTGTTCAAATTATTTGTATGTTACAAAAGTTGTGCAAATAAATTAACGCTCTCATTATTACTCTCTTCGTCACTATACTTTTCTCAATTATATTTTTTTTATCTTTATAATTTCATAAATTTTATCTTTTATTCAATTATAAAATTATGGAGGGAAAAAATAATTATACCTAAATTAATTTAGTTGGACGGGAATTTTTTATTATTATATATTACTTATTTATTTATTTTATTTGTTAGTTATTAATTTATTTTAGAGTGGCAGGCTAATTTTTTTTTCTCTCTAATCTGCAATCAAGTGAAGTGACTTGTGAATGAATATATGAATTTTAGTAAAGTGAGTTTTTTTTTTTTGTTTTTTACATACTCTGATTTGTGGTCAAATATGTGACTTGTTAGATCAATATACAATTTGGATAAAATCTACAACATGATTTCTTAGATTTTGTTGTTTAAACTATGAAGGCCTAGTATTTTTATTAGGTTATAACAATTTGGGTGTGAACTTACCACAATGTAAACATGCATAACTAAGTCTCCTATACAATTAGTTTGTTGATTATTCTTCAAATACTATGTCTCTTCCAATACTTAGTTAGAGATTTTGGCCCTTGATCGACCTTGTACCTACTCATTTTGGTTACTTTATACGCATATGGTTCGACTTGACCCTCATACGAATCAACAATGATCACTTTATAATTAGTATAACACGACCTGACTCCTATATTGTGGTTACTTATAAATAGCATGCCTCGACCTTGTCTACATATTACATTAACTAAAGTCTTAAAAGAGACTCAACTATCTACTTTGAGAGTCAACTACTCAAAAATGATTTTTCAACAACTGAGCTCATAGAGCATCACAATAATATTCTCACAATAGGATATCCAACTTTTGAAAATACTCTCTCCTCTAATCCTATGTCAATCAACACAACGTGCCTTAATGCCTGAAGCATTCTTAGCACCATTGCCCCAACATTACAATAATATCATTATCAATATGCATTATCTCAAAACAATTTATAAAGAACTAGCAACATATATCAACATACATCATATGAGATATACATCTACAGTCTACATGCTCACCATTTTATCAACCAAACAACATGATTTCATAAGACAACCCAAGTTGGCTCCATTCTCCCTACGCCCAATGTCATTAAGGTAGAGAGCTCTCGAGCTCGCCTACACCCGATATCACTTAGCTTGCTCCTGACGTGAATGAGACAAAGAGCCTTTGTTGCAATCACAACTAGCGTCTAGTGTTGTCTAAACAGAGAGTCTTTGTCTAGATCACACTTAACGCCTTTCAACTAGGGCTCGACATCACTAATTCAAAGAGCTCTAAAGGCTTTCACGCTTAGCACCATTCAACCTATGCTCAACATGACTAAGTTAGAGACATCTCCTTTAACTTAAGCCCGACATTACTAATTTCAAGCCCAGTATCAGTGAGGAAGAGAGCCTTTAACCTATATCATGCTCAAGCCTTGAAGTTGCACCTGACGAGGTGGTGAAATATACATTTGACAAAATCATGAAATCACTCAATCCACCTAAAACTCAAAAGATTCTAAGCATGTAACATAACAATATACATCCACCCACCCTACACAACTCATTTCTCATCAAAATAAAAATATGCTACCACCAATTACCTAAAATCACCAAAATCACCTCAACATACTTCAAAACATCCAAAACTCACCAAAACATGAATTTCACTCCAAAATCATCAACATAGCCATGAATTTAGATAAATTCAAGCACATACAACTTCAACAATCAACAAAATTTGAGTTATAGTTTCTCTTACCTCAAGGTTAACAAGAATAAAAGGAAGAAGAATATAGGCTCCGAACTAACTTTAAGAGGCTCTACATGACACAAGTTTTGATTCACGACTCTACTAACATAAATCAACAATACAACTTCTCAAAATCTCCGAGGAAGGATTACTCACTTGAAGGAAGGTTTAGGGAAGAAGAGGTTCTCTCATACTCCAAAACTCTTCTCTCTAAACTATCTCTTTAGGATTTCTTAAGAATGAACTTATGAAACTCAAGTTTAAAAAAAAAAAACCTTATATACCTTCCCCTTCATGTTAAACTGAACCTATGCCAAGAGAAATTTCTAAAGGCTTAAAACTCACAAAAATTCTTAAATTTATGAAGTTTCTTGGTCAATAAACAACGATTCTCCACATTATAATAATTAATAAAATCAGCAATAATTAGTAAAAATATATAGTGTTATAAAATGAACAGAAATAAATAGTTGTATATTTAAATAGTTTATTTTTGTTAACATTTTATGAATATATAAAAAAAACGCTAAGAGGATAAGCTTTATACTATATTAAAAAGTAAACTTTTAAATTACTACAGCAGTCTTTAAGAAAGTTATCAACGTATTTTAGAACATTATTATGTATGATACATTATATGGAGCTGCAAATCGGAAAAGAAAATCTATTTCATTTATTTTCTCTCCATTCTTTCATTTATATGATTTTAAAAGTAAATAATATTACTGTAAAAAAAATAATAACATTCTTCATTAAATATGTATCATCTCTACTAATTTATTTCCTCAAAACTTTTGCAATGGAAGAAAAATAAAAATAAAAAATGGAGAAGATCTTCATCCCTAAAAATTGCGAGGTGGAAATAATAGAAGTTGTAACATCATCCGTTGAATATATTTCCTCATATATAAATTAAAATAATTATTTTAAACAATAGTACTTTTAGGAATTATCTTTAATGTGAGATTTTTTAGTTGAGTTTTTTCATTAAAGTATTTTAAGCATTTTTCTTAACTTCTCATCACTTACAATTAAAAAAAAATTAAATTTCAATAGTTTTTTTTCAAAATATTATCAATAAGTGAATAGTCTTCCATTATAACATAAATCATTTATTATAAATCTAAAATATAATTTATATATCTTAAAATATTTAGTTATTATAAACTTTAATAACAGTATAATTTATATTAAAAATTTATTATTATAAATTATAACTATTGAAAACAAAGACTTATTCTATGCTATGTATAGACTAACAAACTAGTTATGAATAAATTAAAATTTTAAATATTTTGCAACTATTTTTCTTTCCATATTTTTTTATAAATTTGCAAATACTTTTAAACATACAATTTATTTTCTCATACAAATTATAAAACAAAATGTATTCATTTTATTATTTTGAATAAATAATTAGCAAATTATATTAAAGTTAACAATTAATTAATGGTCACAATATTGTTTAAGATAAGTCTAATTTTATTTGAACCAACACAACAACTTGTTGGTTGATTGTGTGTTATTTATGTTTATTAAACTAATTAATTGCATTTAATTCATTCATTGAATAAAAATTAAATCACAACATTACCTTTAATTTGGGTAATTTGCAGTTGAGTACCTTTTTCATATTTTTAAGTTTTTTTTAATTGAATATCTAAATAAAAGATTTTATTTCACTACAAACAATAAATCAGAATGAAAACAATAATATTTTGAATTTTAAATAGTTATCTAGTCAATGATCTTTTATTTTTAAATTATTTTTCTTAATACTCAAATTTTATAATAAACATTAAATATAAACACTATTAGTTTTACCAATAAGTAATTGATGTGAGTGATATCAAGCTAGAGGAGGGTCTTGAATTTGAATCTTGTTTGAAAAATGTTATTAGAATGAAAAACTCTATTAAATATGAGTAACTAAGTTCCTCAATAAAGATTAATCACATTAAATATCTCGTATATATATCATGTCTTAAAATAAAATAAAAACTTAAAAATTGATTTTTTTTAAAACTTTGTAAATTCAAAACTTTGAATGATTGCATATTTTATATTTTAATTTATATTTTCATTATAAATAATCAAAATTTTCAAATACTTTTAGATATGTATTTTTCATTAATCCTTTCATGAACTCAAATTATATTTTAAAAATTTGTAGATTAAATTTTTTTGATGATTGCATAGTTTTTATATTAATTTAATATTTATGGTTCTCTATATATATAAATTAAAATAATTATGTTATCTGACAGTTTTATCTTGGAATTCCAATATATATTTTTTATAAATGTATAAAATATTAAAAATATCCTTGTATCACAATATATATATATATATATATTAAATTTAAAATATAATTTATTTTCTAAAATATTTATTTATTATAAATTTAATATTAATATAACTTATATGTTCAAAAATCTATTTATTATAAATTATATTATATAAAACAATCATTTATCATATGTGCACCAATAAATTGTTGATTCGAGTGATATTCAATCTATTTAAGGTCTTCAGTTCATATTTTTCATATGAAAAAAACATGGTTGAAAGATGATATCTAATTAAAGGTAACTAGTCAAATTTTTATCAAAGATTAGTTATGAACAAAATCTATTTGTACTAATAACCATATAAAAAAATTGGAACACTTTACTACCTGCATTTTATTGATACAACTATTTGGACTCATTTAGAATAGAGTTAATCACCTATACACTGTCAGTATAAAGTTTTTTTTACACTGACAACCAATTATATCTTTTAATTGTGTCATATCACTGTTATAAGTAAATATGTTTATAGTGACATGACACAATTAAAAGATATAATTAGTTGTCAATATAAAAAAATTATATACTGACAGTGCATAAGTAATTAACTCTTTAAAATATTATTTAGTAAAAATAATATTTATAAAATCAATTTTAAACCATTAAATTTATAACTATTATTTAGTTTCGATTACGATTTTTATTTTAAAACACGTGTCAATAAAAAAAACTACAGGTTTACCAAACAGGCACATGCACATGTTATTACATACTTGCCTCACTCATTTTCTCCTCCCTCCAAATAACGTATTATTAACGCGCTACAGCTTTAGAGTTTAGACATTTGGCAAAATGAATTAAGGGTCTGTTTGGTGCGGTAGAAATTGAAAGAAAGAAAAAGGAAGTGCAACTAAATTGGTTAATTTTAACTCCCCAATCTACCCACCCACCCTATAATCGATTATAAATAATAATTTTAAAACAACAACAATAATAATAATAACAGTAATAATAATAATAATAAATCTTTATTTTTTATTGTTTAAAACCAAATAACCCTCAAAATTGATTTTCACTTTATTTCTCTTTACCCAATCAGCTTCTATTCTATTTTGTTTGTTACTTATTTCTGTTTTTCTACACACTTCTCTCTCTGTTTTCTTCCTCTCTACTAAACACCTTAAATGATAAGGAAACATTTATTTTCTACCAAGGCGCATCGTTTTAAAAAGAAAGTTTTTTTTTTTTTTTTATATATATATTGAGAAAATTTACTGAATGTTTGATCAAATGATTTTTTTTTTGGGTAAAATAGGGGGCATTGGTCAAATGATTTAACAGACAAATTAAATAGGCAAAAATACAGTTTTATATGTTCGGACGATGAGTCAAGGTGAAGAGAAAAAATTACAGAGATTTGTTCAATTACAGTAACTATTGATCAAGAGGAATCCACTCGAGTTCAAGTTCTAATTCTCCACATTCAACATTCTGGAGCTTGATTGACATGAATTGTTTAACCTTACCATCAACAATATTGACTGTGCTATCCTCAATAAGTGCATTGTCATCGGATTTTAACCATTTTCCTATCTGCATATCGCCAAACATTCCAGCATCTCCAAATGCCATAGCAGATGTTATCAGAGACTGAAGATCAATCTCTGCTTCTCCCATTATATCATCAGAAGAAAATGTGTCAGAATCAAATACTTTCTGCATCACAGCCAGCCAGTTAACAAGATTAAGTGTCAGATTCTCAAACCAAAAATATCTTCTTTACTATGTAAACAGAGAGAGGAGCGAAAGAAAGAAAAACAACACATTCGCCACAAGATGCATTATACATAAACATCTCAACAGCCTACCAACAAAGAAGAAACCTATCATTAGAGTGTACAAACAGCCAGCCTATCTCCAATCTAACCATCAGATTTGTAGCAAAACTTGATAATAGATAATTATTAAGGGCGAAATTTTCATTCAACTAAAACTAGAAATGAAATGGCAAAACAAGAGGAATTCTCCCAACTTCACAAGTGTTAGTAGTCTGGCGAGCCATGCTCATTGTTTTTGTGTTGGTCTGTTTTCTTGAGACAATAGGATTCTAGAGTAATTTTTAGAATCTATCAGTGAGATATTGGAACATTCACCAAGTACAATAGAGGTCTTGTTAATTTAAGAGCTTTGGGGGAAGAGGAAGAAAAACACTTCTAGTTGTGATAGCAGTAACAACTATTTTCACTTGAAGAGCAATGCAAGAATAATCAAAAAACCAAATTTCCCTCCTCATCTACTCTTGCATATGATTATATTTGTGGATCCTATGTAGTTTTGGGATTATAAATGTGCTTCTTTGACACATTGAAGCATATCTTTACTGTTTTCGCCCCCTTATTGCATTGCCTTCTCTTTTTCCTCTCATTCCACTAAATACAGTATTCCAAATTGCATCGCATCTCCAGTTCAATCTTAAACACATTAAACATGATGACAAACAGAGGACCTTCATTCTAAGCGCAAATGAAAAAGGCTATGTTCTAGAGGCACTATGTATATATTAACCATTTTTGCTTCTACATCTAAAAGATGGCAGTAAAAACCATTTTTCCTACTTCTCTTGGATCATGTTGAAGAATGTAAGACATTATTTTATGGCATTTTGAGAAAAATAGGCCGCTCAATAAAGATAGAATTCACAAGGGAACAAATGAATAAGAAGAGGCTGCCAATCAATGGAGAGAAAAATCTCTGTTTATATACTTAATACTTAATAGGAGATATTCCAATCACTTATTAAGAGGAGAAATGCTAATAATAGACTCTCTACCATACTCTTTTGAACACAATCTCTATTATTGATTGAAATTTATTAAAAATTACAATTTTTTTCTGGATTTCATTTCTTATTTAATGAATCTTTCTCCTGATATTGTAGTTTTTAATAAATATTAACCAATAGTTGAACATATATTAAAAAGAGTGTGTTGCTAGCATCCTCCACTTATTAATTATCATACCAAAATAGCAAAGCAGGTAAATGAGCAACGCCTAGAATTGGATACGTTTATATAACAATTCATTCTTACCATAAATTCAGGCTTTTGCTTCCAACAAAGTTATTCTAAGTCATAACCAAGTTACAAACTGCATTTTCAGAATAGAACTGTTTAATTTCCAGAGTGGAAAAGGATGCAAGAGAAGATGACCGTGACTTTGAATTGGATTAAGTTGCTTGCAATACAAGGAACTTGTTTGGCAAGGTATGTAGAAACCCATTTTTTTTTTCAATGATGTGGCTCTATATTATATGACATTGAAGTTAGTGTCAGATTTTCACAACATCAAAATTCAAACATACCAATTTCATCTGTCCATAATGTTCAGGAACTGATAGCATGTATTCCTCATTCCAGACTGGATTCAAGTTACTCGGGATTACAGTTGTCTGGACAGTCTGTATGCATCAGCAATAAAACAAAATCAATTTAGAAAGAAAATTATCCCTGTTTCTAATTTTACAACTATAAATAGAAAATTCAGAGCAACAGTTTCCCAAGATCATATAGTGACACCAACCTGCTGGCCAAGGCTCAAAACAACATACGGATCACTTGACTTTATATCTCTGATGGCTAAATTGGTGCCTCTAATCACTTTCACCTTCAACAGTCCAATAAATTCTACCATGCCTTCCTGCTTTTACCACAAATATCAGTCACATTCCAAGGAAATCACTCATGAGAGCAACTACATTGCCATTGCTGTCAAACTAGTGAAATTGGATAATGAAGAACGCCTCATCTCATCTATTATTAATTATTTTTATTAGAAGGATTTCATCTGGTCCAACAATGATTCAATTCAATAAAAATCTATTTTACAAACAAAAAGATGCCTACTCCAAAATTGGTAGCAATATTTCTCCCCCACTCACAAATGTAGTCAGATAATCAGAGGAACAAACACAACATAAAGTTACCATTCTCTGAGAAGTACTAGTACTTCTAAAACTATCCATCGTGCTATTGACAGAATTTGATTGTAGACTGCTTTTTCCAGACACAATGCGCAAACTAGGTTTGAGAAATTCTTGAAGTTCATATTTTGACCTGCAGTTGAAATAGTCACAAATTACCAGAGTCGTTGAAACAACAGCAGAAAGTCAAGAAAATAAACACGTAAGCAAATGGGTCAAACAAATATCAGGATAATCAACATCCTTCACATTACCTACTTAATGGTGACTGGAGAGAGAATTTTTTCAAAATGAACAAAAAGATGCTATGAAGAGCATATACATAGTGTATATGAAAACAAGTCTAACCGAATGAATTTTGAACGCTGCTCATGACCAGCATCTGGTCCAGGTTTCGTATATCCTTCAGGAATATAAGCTTCATAAATTGAATTGGCAGAAGCATTTCCCCCAACTTCCATCATTGCATCTATTTCATCCTCTGACCAATCATCCAATGCCACAGACAAAACCTGAGAGTAAAAAGAAAAAAAGTAATGCTTTCAAACAAAATGACTTCAGTACTCATGCCACTCAACTTCAAAGACAGCCCACTGGAAAAAACTAGGTCAAATCATAATTATTAGTTAATTAGCTAACAACTGAATATTTGTTTGCCTTACTCGCATGCCAAAAGGTTTACTGTTTCAAGGATTCACACTGAACATGTTAGACCCAGACTCAGAATGATAAGCCCCACATTTGGAGAGTGCATGTGAGGAAATCTAGGAACAATGTGCAGAAGAATAAACCAGTTGAGAATGTGTCAACTACGGGGGATTAGTTAAGATAGGGTTGTTTCAATCATTAAGTTTGTCTTCTAGTAGTTATTCTGTTCGGTTACCTTGTCAGCTTATTTTTCAGAGGATGTTATTTCTTGTTATCTAGCACTGGCTAAGGGAGCTACTTATTGCGAACACCCGGTCATCTTTAGGGTCATTTTTTCAGGGAATTATTTGAATAGAAACAGAGGATATTTCCTCTGCAGAAGATTTGCACAGGGGATTGGTGTCTATCGGTTTGCTGGGTCACTATTGTAAACCTTGTATTCATACTTCAGAAAAAAATAAAGTTAATCTTTAATACAGTATAAAAAAGGTTCCTAATACAACATAAACGTTACAGTTTAGCCTATTCATGCTCCTGCAAAAGCAAGCTTCAACCACAAAATGAAAACCAAGACCAAAATGCTCATCATACTTTTAGTATCGAATTCCAGTTCAATGACTTTGGCCTCACTAGCTAGCTCTCTTCTTTCTTAACTGGGAGATATAGATATGTCTTTGCGACTTTTCAACTATTATTGCAGGAAACTGTGTATCCAGCAGCTGTATAGTTCTATTTCTAACTCATCTTTGAGACAAAACTAACTTGATCACTTAATCCGACATAAAAATTGATACATGCAAGACATTCAAATGATTTCATTTTCCACATTTTATTTCCAATCAAATAAAGAAAATCATATTTTATATCTATAATGTTTAGTACAACAATGTTTGGTATAAAAATGAACCAAAACACATGGAACAATACTTTAACTAAATTTGTTGACCACCACCGCCACTACAACCATTGCCATTGCTGACACCACTACCGCTGTCATCATCATTACTATCATTGTCACCATTACCGTTATATTAAAATAATTAATATGAATTGAATTAAGAAAATTAATATTAAGAAGGGTATTGCAAAAAAAAAAATTGTCTTATAGCTTAAGCATTTGTCCCGAGATGTTCTCTTTGGTTCGCAGTAGTGGAGGGGTTGGATAGGAAAAAAGAGGGATTCCAGTTGTAAGATATCTAATGAAACCGTCATTGGAATTGAGATCTCATTCAAAGAGAAAGATATCAAATATCTAGAGTTCCTTTTTTGTATATTATATGGATATGAAACAAATCATAAAATATAAAAGAAGGACAAATCCTTAGAGATCATCAGAATACTTTAAAATATTCTAATATATAAAAATGATTCATCAAATATTTCTCATTTTCTAACAAAAATCATGAATAGAATTGACAGGAGGAGAGATGCCTTGTGATAATTTAACTGGACATTGTTTTTCATTGCCTATGCCTAACTGTCGTATGCATCTAACACATCTAGGTACAATTCATTGTACAAAATTTAGCTGAAAGCTTAAAGCTAACTAAAAGTTTGAAGCTGGAGTTGATAAGCTAGTTGTTCCAAAATAGGTCCCTAGAAAGCCTCATCTCTAGGGGCGTGCATGATTCACCAAAACTACAATTTATTGTGCTAAGTACACATGTTCAATATAGCGAGCAACTAACACTACTGAGATGTGTTGGCAACATCCACATTGCTATGGCGATCAAATGAGAATCTCTACAATAATCAAGACCCATCTGTCCATAAAAAGTCTTTGAAACAAATCGGCCTTTTGCCAAGATGCCTTAGATGGCCTTAAACCCACCTAACAACTCTCTTCCATGTGAACACACGTTACGAAGCTACTCTCATCACACATTTAAGAGGTAATGCACCTCAAAAGCACCAAAATACATAACCTGCAGCATCACTCTATACTCTGTCACGTCAAGAACCTCATGAATGATAGGATTAACCCTGACCATTGATTCTAGTCCATACTAGGAAGCATCCAAGGGCTCTCCACCTTTCATGTTGAGATGAGGTAGTCCGTGGATAATTGTCTATGCTTGTTGGTAATCACCCTTGTCATCTCACACCAATAAACATCTTAGCCTCTTTGTAGTTTCTCCATCAGTTGTTAGCATGGTTTTGAAAAATAGACCAAAGCGACTGGTTGGACTAGTTTGACCAAGAACCGGTTCAATTGAACCAGAAAACCATTTTGTAATGAACCAATAGAAAACTGGTAGAACCGGTCAAAACTAGTAAGACTGGTGAAAAATAGGTTAAACCGGTTTGAACCGGTCCAATTAAAAATATTTTTTAAAATTTTTAAAATTTAGTTTAAAATATTTTTACATATTTAATTCTAAATTATAAATTAGAATAACTTATTTTTAATACTTGTCTTATAAATATAATTTAATCATATATGTTAATTTGCAAGTTTTAATATCTTTATTTTTTATAATTTATATCATATTAATTTGATACTTTTTATTCTAGATGTAAAACTTATTATTATTAATGAACATTGTTATATTTTATTAAAATTTTAAACTAAATATTATATTTAGTTTAGAATTTTACATATACATTTAATGTTAATAACCTATAAATAATTTTTTATTTTAATTTTTAGTGTTATAAAATTATGATATTATATTTATTTAATATTATTTTTGTATTGATAATAATAATAATTATTATTTTATTAATACATGTTTGATCATGTTTCAATCATGATTGAATCATTGAACCTAAAACTAGTGTTTAGATTGATTCGATGGCTGGTCCAATTTTAAAAACATTGGTTGTCAATCCCTCTCACCTAAAAACCCTAGCCTCTTTTCCATCACCTGCCACCTCCTCCCTTTACCCAACCATTTTGCCTCACCAGAAGTTTCAGAACAAAGGTTGCCTGGCGGCAGTGCAGGTTGTTGAGCCTGTCTGGCAACACCACAGAGGGAGGAGTGGCCACCAATGCCTGTGACAGTCACAATTAGTGGCGCTACAGCCCACAGACGCAACTCAAATCCGCTCCATGATGACAAGTAAAGACACGAGGTGGTCCTAGCTACTATAGCAGTGTGATCACGTGCATTTTAAATCTATGATCCTAGCTAATTGAATTAAAAGTATTTGCAAAAATTAACTATTGAGGTAACTGAAATTGACATAAGAAAAACAAATTTAGTTACTAGGCTATGATTTAAAATTTAGTATATTTATTTAAATAATCATCACTTTTCATATTTGAACTTATTTCAAATAACTTATGTTTTTACAAATTAGGATAATATTTTTTAATTTCATTCTTAAAAAAAAATTAAAATATTTTTATTAAATGAATTTATATTGTATTGATTTTAAATTGTAAAGAAATGATATTTGATGAGTGAGTATTCAGGAATTTTCAATGTAAGAAGAGTAAATGAGGAACTATAATAAGATAGGAGCTTATAAGCTCAAAATGCTACATAAAATAGAATTTGTTTAGATACAAACTTAGAAAAGTCTCTAAGAACAAACTTTTCTATTGAAAATATAGTCTTTTCTAGTAAAAAAACTCTCAAAAGTACTTCTAACTTGTATCTAAACAGGCTTATAGTGTCTCAAAAATTGCCTCAAGTTGGTAAAATAAGCTCCTTCACAAAACAACTTTATTCTAGTCAAATAAGCTAAAAACTAGCTTATTTATCTTGTCAAACACACTCCATATCACATCAAATTTCTTATATATGTTCTGGAAAATGTAAGAATTATCAGTCTTTTCAATTGGTTGAAGACAAAAAGGAGGAGATACTCGGTTCAAGCATCAAATACTTTACATCAGGAAGGAAAAATAATTCTTCAATCCAGGCAGCAATGACTTCCACAACAATGAGACAACCTATGGATGGTGATACATGTGAATGACTTACCTTTGATATATGAGTACCAAGGCTTCTGTGCATACCACAACATTTTAAGCATATAAAAACTCCAATGTTAGCAGACCTGAAAAGCAGTCAGTAAAAGTGAATTCACAAATTAAGAGTGATATTCATGACACATTCTTTATTATATTTTACAAGTAGCAAGTTTCTACAGCTTTATGTGATATTTCATTTTTTGTTTAGTTAGGAGGTATAATTTCTTCTATCAGGTCAGCCCTTGTAAGAATAAAGTGGTATTTCCAATTGAGACTTCATGTCCAAGCTAGAGATCAAATCCTGATTTTTGGTTAAGAAACACAAGTGATTCATCACTTGTGTTAATGACTTTTTGTCAACTTTATGTCATATTCACAAACGGTTCACCAAAATAAAAAAGTCTGATAATGTCCATCAATATAAACCACAAGTGTCATGAGTGAAACACTTACGCCCATTTAGGATCTGGTGCATTACAATCAGCACAAAAACGATTATCACGTTGGAGCAACAAATCTTTCAATTTTCTTCTACCTGTAAAAGACCTTCCAATAATTCAACTTCTCAATAAAAACAAATGAAATTAGTTCTGCAGTATCCCCCAATTACACTTCATAGGCATTCAAAAGAACCTTAAAGCTTCTAAAGATAAGTTCAATTTTTTTAGGACATGTTTGGATGGAGGTGTTTGGGGCTAAAGGGAAGGGAGGGTGAACTTTCTGTTTTTTTTAAATTAAAAAAGAAAAGGAGTAAAATGAAAATAAACCCTCCCCTTTCCCTCCAAACCCCTCCATCCAAAAATCCCTTAAAAGCCCAAGCCAGAGAGAATATTTACTGATAAAATATGCAATTCTTAACTAGATAAAGTTGTCATTCATAACCATCTAGTCGATAATCATTTGCTGAAACCCCTTGAAGTTTACATGAACCTAAAGCATTAAACAATATCAGAAAGCTACAGGAAAATGTAACCTAATAGAAGTATTAGTAAAATCTTCTTCTTCAAGCCCCTTCAAAGGTGGGAGGAAAGGGAAAATGTTGGACATCAAGAATTCTTTTTCCATTTCGGAAAAAGATGAGTTGGCATGATTATTGTTGATTGGATAGATGAGTGATCCCAACCTTCTATCTTATCTAACAATTGCCCTTGAATCTAGCTGAATTCTTCAAAATTACAGCTCTTTTTTTATTAGCTGTCTAGTAATACTCAAAACAAAAACTCTTCAGGGAGCCTGGAGTTTAGCAATGAGTGGTAAAAAGACTGGGTAAAAACTTTACAAATCCATAAGTCATTACAGGAGCTAATGGTTAAACATTTTTGTAATATACAGGACCAATCATCCATACTTATTAGAATAGGTCAGTAGAATGTCACTAGTTCTCAGCCAACAATAATATTCAATTGTTAACACCTCATTAATATATATTATCACATTAAATATCATAAGATTACTTGAGACAGGTCTTCCAAGTTCCATTCGGTAATTATTCATAGATGTGCTTAAAGCTGATGGTCATCCAGGCTGCGTGCAGCCTCAATAATAGTCAAGCAAAACAACCTGGAAAGGAAGAAACAAATATCTGTTTAAGCAAAAAATTTCATTGCCAAATTGTGCCAACAAGATGAAAACTCAGCTAAATCATGTAAAGATAAAACTTAGATAAATTTCCACAGATGTTTTTGCCTTCTGTAATTGGTACAAATTACAATTTTCTAATCAAAATTGGAGTTTCACCTTAGTAACCCTGTAATAAATTCCAATTTTGAATAGAAAACAACACCAAAAACACATCAATAACCTATGTTGACCTTTAATTGATACCTTTATTATGAGGATTATTGAGGTGAAATTCCAATTCTTACCGGAGAACAACACCAAAAACATTTAAAAAACTACATCTAAGTTTGGTCCATCCAATAACTACAAAACTTATCCTCTACATTCAATCTCACAGCACTTGAAATTTAGATAATCATATGATCAATAGAATAATTTTAGGGAAAAATAATCTAATCTGAAGACAAGGGCACAAAAAACATATACATACGGAAGAAGAGAGAGATGATTACTCAATCAAGACTTAGTTTTTGAAGTCATTTACAGTCATTCACACTGTTTTTTCACAGATTATATATTATGGCAAGTTTGGATAAACTTCTCAACAAATACTTAGAGGGGGGAAAAAAAAGTACGTGAATAAATCTTTTCCCTCGAGTTAAAATTATCTTATGCCTAAGTTCATTTTAAAAGTTCTCGCATTTATCATCTCCAAAAGCTGATTTTAGTTTATATTTAAGTTAATTTTAACTCATGGGAGAAGCTTCATCTATCATACCTTCTTATTTTTTTTCTCCTATATACACTTATTGAAAAGTTTATCCAAACATGAACTGTGTCTGCATATAGTAGTATAAGACGCACATACATACACATATCGAAACAGGACCGTCCTCGTATAGTCGTATGTAATTGGGAACTCCCGAAGTAGAAAAAAAAAAAAAAAAAACTAGAATACTGAAAACACCAACTTCTAGAATCGCTCCTCCTCACAAAACAGACTTAGGGAGGAAAAGGTTTTGGAGCATTCTTTTCGCAAGTGATGCAAATTTCAAAGTAATCAAAGATGGGGGGAAATGAATATCGAACCGCACCTACCACAATTTCTTTCTCTCAGCAACAAAATAACAAATTCAGATTTCTTACAGCGAATTGGATAATAAGGTGATCGATGCATATAAAAACTTGTCGATAGAATAATGGATTTCAGGACAGTGATGAAAATTCCGTTGAAGAGAATTCAGAGGTGTTAAATATGCATGAAATGAGTCTTATCATCGGAAAAATCAACGACAATGAAGAAAAAGACACAGAAGATATAAACACGTGAGTGTGAAATTGAGATCAGAATGAGAAAGTGAAGCTTACCAGTGAATTAAGGAATCGAAATGGGTGACTTTCAAATCCACGGAACGATGCCAGGAGGGTGGTGATGATTTCAATGTCCGAAGTGGACCATTCTATCACAACTACAAAAAAAATTCTTTATATATTTTCATATTTTTTGTTCGTTTAAAATATATTTAGCTTAATTTATTTTAAAAAATTATTGCAATATTTACCAAACCCACTTTTAAATTTTAATCAAAGTTAAATTATAAAAATTATTCAAACATAAATCAATATTTACCAAACTCGCTTTTAATCAAAGTTAAATTTATAAAAATTACAATAATTCAAAATCAACTTTACAATGATATTTTTATAAAGAGGAAGTGAGTTTGAATAAACATTATCTTCGGGTACCACATCATACCATATTAAATTTGTGGATTATTTAAATTTTAGCAAAGTTATTTATGGAGATTACTTGGAGATGTTCTAATATATAAACCAGGTTCCTTTCAAATAATTTTAATAAATTATTTATTTTCGAAGACTTAAGTAACAGATACGTGACCATAGTTTGAGTTAGCCATTTAAGGAAACTTATTTTATTGTCCACATCAATAAAACAATGTGGGTGAGACCTCACATCCTTCGAAAAATTAAATGTTCAATCTAGTCAAATGTATAGATTTGGACGTTTGAATGTTAATTTAAAATTAAATTCAATAAAAAATGTATTTTAATATAAAAATAAAAATATGTGAAGATAACTTTTTTTTAAAAAAAAAAATTAGTTGAATTCAACTCAATTAATTTTCAAACAGTTGAATGTCTTTGTCACAAATTGAAACATGTTTGACAAATAAATAATATTAGATGAAATGAAAAAGGTGGTTTGTAAATTACTAACCCAGAACCTAACTTGAACCGATTATATTTGTAAAAAATTGACTGATCTAAATTAAATTTTAAGGGTCACGTATTTTTTATTTATTTATATGAATTATATTTAATATTAAGAAGTTTAATATAACTTACGCAAACTAGATAAACTCCGTTATTAGAGTCACATGTGTTTGACAAAAAATAGTATTAAACCGATAAGTTGATTAAAAGTTAAGAAAATACTAATAAGTTAACTTATTTAATAAGTATTTAGTGAAATTAGTTGTTAAAATGATTAAAAAATATATAATAAAAAAACGTATTTATATATTTTATATCAAAATGCTAATTTTTAGACAAAACCATCTCTCTCTCTATATAAAGCAATTTTGTAATGTAATTATCTACTAACCTATCCGATACAATTTTAAGAACCCTTCAAGTTGGGAGATAAAATTCCAAATTCCTCAACTTGGTGATGAAGGACTGAAATTGGGCCTTTGGTCAATGTATCAACAAGTTGTTGATGAGTGATAACATGTACAAGGTTGAAGAAGCCTGATCAAACATTCTTGAATGTTTAATAACTAAATACATATTGCATTATTAATAACTGCTAATAGAAAATATTATAAACATAAAATATAAGTAGACGGAATTCAATACAAATTAAAAATAAAAATCAAATTTAATGTTTTTACTCAAACTAAAAATATATCTTATCCTTTAAATTTCCACCGTCAATTTAATAATGATTAACTAGTACATCCAATATTCGACGATTTTTATTCTTAAGGTGGCATTGGATCATTTTCGTTTCTACTATTAATGAACAGTGAAATTTTAATTTAATGAAAAGAAGTGAATATATCAACATTTCATAAACTCATTTTTTTTTTAATTTGAAATGAATATGCTTTATAAAATCATTTATATATCTTTGTTATTTTGAATCTTTGAAAGAATCTATTATCGACAATCACCAATTGTGATTATTATTAAAAATAATAAACTTAACATCTAAAAAGTTTAAAAAAAAAAAAAAAGTTAAACATAAATTTTTAAACATTAATTGTAATTATTATGTTTTATTTTTAAGTGGGGTTGCACTATACGTAGATATAAATAAAAAATATAATTGCTATCTAACCCGTGAACATTCTTCAACAATGTTCTAAAGGCTAGGAATAGAGAATAGTTATTTCAAAAAAAAATAATGAATAGAGAATAGAATTGAGAAATTCAAGGTGAACCAATAGGAAAGAGACACATGTGAAACTTATGATAAGCATATGTCAAATTTGTGTGAGAAGATAAGAAAGCAAAGGTGCAAGCATATGAATTGAAATATGATAACCAAAGTTTCTTAGGTGAACTAACATACACTTAGTTTCATGGCTAAATATTCTGACCCTCATATATGCCAATGTCTGAGTCGGTTGTTAACCTTCCGGCGACACTTTCCGGTCACAGTCGCCGGAAACCGCCGCAAGACCGGCCAACAGTTGGTGGAGGAAGTTTTGTCCTTGGCCAAAGGCCTACTCCACCTTGGACTCACACCTGGTCACGTGGTTGCCATCTCTGCTTACAATAGGTAAGTACCCTTAATTCCTTTGGTCCCTCATAAGTCATAACACACAGTATGTCATGTGAGAGTCCTATAAACTTGGAGTATATATATATTCTTTATCCATAAGAATCTAACTCGGTATCAGAAAATTTACAATGTACGCATGTTCAACTAGACTTCCTTAGAGCATGTATTATAACACACACATTTGTGTATCTTGTAATGAAACTAAACTACTTTGAGGGATGGAACCTTGTGTACTTTCTTGTTCTAAACCAAGGATAAGTGGACCTGAGATAATGGTGATTTGGGCACGAGTTCCTTCCTTTTAAGGGCAAACCATATGATATGTCTAAAGTCAAACTTTTGTCAACACTTTTTATTATTATTATCTTCTGAATTGTCATGTTGATCCTGGAAATAAAGAGGAGACCACTTATTTATTGACTGTTGATAAGATTTTACTTCATAATAAAACGATATTTAAAAAAATTAATGAGTGTGTTGCTTCTTTTCCTCGTTTATAATTGAATCTATTTGAGCAAGATACATATATTTATGAACTTTTTTCTTCTTCTGCATTTTTGGCTTTGTTAATGCAAAGGCTCTGTGTAATTTAAAATGCAACAGTAACATCGATACTCTTATCCTACTAGGTAAGATTGATTACAACTTACATAAGTCATGCGATGTCATTCAACCAAGTAAAAATCAAATTTTCAAGAATATTATTTATCATGAGACCCCTTGTATTAATTTCCTCTAATATTCTCCTTAGCCTCCCTCTACCCTTCTTCACGTACTTTCTTTGTATGTTATTTTTTAGTAATTAGCCTTAAAAATACATCTTAGCTCACTCAATGAGATAAGGATTGCTCGTTGTTGTATAGTCTATAAGCACATGATCCTATCCTATTTCTATTAAATGTCTAGTTATTGCTAGTTCATCAATGATTTTTGGATGATAGACAGCTTCTTTATTTTTCATTCTATTTTTCAGTGATAGGTATCTGGAGTGGTTGTTAGCCATTGCATTTGTTGGAGGAATAGCTGCCCCTCTGAACTATCGCTGGGTGTGTAAATTTGCTGTAGACTTGAACTTGATTGCTTAGCTTTGGCATCTGTTAATTTTACCTTTATATTTTTGACAAGCACTATCATGAAACCATCTTCATGCTAATTTGGCATTTGAGAGCTATGTTCAATTGACCTCCTCGTTGTTCATTATGCACATTCACACTCTAGCTTACCACACACCATTTCCTATTTACCTTAATATGTTTTCAGCCTTCTTCTTCTTGTTATTTCATCTAGACTCATCTTTTTCCACAAAGTATTTCATGCGCTACTCATAAATTTATGCTTTAAAACATTTTCTTTTTCCTGTAGAGTTTTGAAGAGGCAAGATTAGCAATGACTGCTGTGAGGCCAGTGATGTTAGTGACTGATGAGAGCAGTTACGCATGGTATTCAAAACTCCACCAAAATGATATTCCATCTCTGAAGTGGCATATTTTGTTAGATTCCCCTTCCTCAGATTTCACAAAGTGGAATGGTAGGCATTAAGATAAAATTTATACATGAAACCTGTTTCACTTGAATGATCTTTATGAATTGTTGCTTTTACTGCTTTGCAGTGATAACTCCAGAAATGCTTAAGAGGCATCCTGGAAATCTTCTACCATCTGATTACTCCTTGGCACCTGAAGGCGCTGTCATAATATGCTTTACTTCAGGTTCAAGATTCTCAGTCTCTTCGTTTATGTATTATATCGAAATACGCATGTGTAATGATTTAATTCAATGACAATCTCCATGCTAGATTGAATACTATGCTGTGTCAAGTGATTTCTTGAAATGGAATTCATACGATTGATGAAAGTAACTAATTCATGCAATATTTGTTCCATCTGAGAAATAGAAACTTCTTTAACTAAGTGGAATTAACTTTTTGACATTGATTTATATGCCTGAACTGTGAAAAAAAAGTATTGGAGCTGAAGCTGATTAATGTTCTTATTGAAAAAAGAGCAGTAGGATTTTAAATTAAAGTTTGTTCAATGAACTTCAAAATTATAATCAATTTGATTTTAGCTAGGAAAAGAAATATTTTATCAATGTTCAAAATTGCTGTTTACAAGCTAGTTGCATATAAACGTAATTAGGAGTTTGAAATATTGATTACTTCTTGATCTTTTGTTCTACCGAAAGGGTCCACTTTCAACACTACTGCCATGATTTTTTAGTAGTAGTGCATGTGCCACTGTTTAAATATAACTCTAGGGGAGTTAATTTCTAATCAAATATATTGTTTTTGTTTCCTTAAATTGTTGTGTTCTTGACTCTAGGAACTACGGGAAAGCCTAAGGGAGTCACCCTAAGCCATGGAGCTTTGATCATACAATCCCTAGCCAAGATTGCCATAGTTGGCTACAATGAGGATGATGTATGCCATTCTGTGTTACATGCAGTTCATATTATTGATCATGAAAACTTACCATTATATCAGAACACAAGGCTGTCAATATTAACTATCCAGATTTTACATGCGTACAAGTTACATGATAAATCCAGCTGAACAGTTGAAGGATGATTGAGTTTATGCCATTTGTTCTGTAACAGGTCTATCTGCATACTGCTCCATTATGCCATATTGGTGGCTTGTCATCAGCCTTGACCATGCTTATGGTTGGAGGTTGCCATGTCTTGATGCCAAAGTTTGATGCAGAATCGGCTGTTGATGCCATAGAGCAATACACAGTGACATCTTTTATCACAGTTCCTGCAATAATGGCCAGTCTGATTTCTATAATTAGGTATATTCCTGTGTCAAATAGGAACAAATCTGTCCTTTTTGTAACATAGATCATCACATGATATGTTATCTAAGAACAAAACTGTCAAATAGTTTTTCAGCATAAATGTTTTCCTATTTAGTTTAGGTAAAAACCATGCATTAGAGTTTAGGAATATGTTGTTTTACAGCTATTCTCAGCTTGATTTGATGTTTTAATAATTTTAGGCAAAAAGAGACCTGGAAAGGGGGAGAAACTGTCGAGAAAATACTTAATGGGGGTGGAAGCCTCTCACATGAGCTCATCAAGGATACTAGCTTATTCTTCCACAAAGCTAAACTTATTTCAGCTTATGGTATGTCTCTCTTGTCCCAATGTTGGCTACAAGAAGCTTTATTGACTAATTTTAGATGGTAAAATCTTACGCATGAAATCACGTTGACATTAACATGTTTTTACATGCAAGTGCTTTTAGGTTGACAGATACTTTAATCTTGAAAAACTGAACAAGAAAACATGTGCTTTGATAAAATTAGACAATGGAAAAATAGAAAGAAAAGAGAGAAAAATACACGTAGCAGAAGAAAAAAGATGAAAATTTTAAGGGAATTGCAAAAAATTTATCTAACAATCAGTAAATACCATTATGAGAACAAGTACACGTGACCTATGAATAACAAATTGGAGACAGACTTCAAGTGATCAGTTCAACTGTGAAACGATCAAACGAACCATATTGTAAGCCAAAATCAAAATGATATCCTAAATTCCTTATTAAAAGATTAAAACAAGTCACTGCTTATGGAAAGCCTTATTAATTAGGATGATCCTAGGAATTGAAATCCTTTGCACCCATTCCCCGGTACTTTAATACCTTATTTTATTAAGATCCCCGTTTATTATATGTGCCTATGAGGTACTAAAAAATGTATGGTGAAACAGAAATCTGGTTGTCAATAAACTAAATACATCTTTTCAAGGTATTTCATTTCAAACTAGTTAAAATTGACCTCCTATACAGTCACCAGAAATATGACTGTAGCCTTAGTTTGATCATCTTTCTTTTTCAATCTGCTTTATATGAAATATAGCAAATCTGTATCATGAATAACATCTCCAAATCTGTATCTATGAAAAGTTGAAAACGCTGGTTTGATTTATTAGGCTGGAGAACATTAGCTTGACAACCTAAAAAACAGTTAATATTGAAGAATGTGTGCTTCTGCTTTTACCACGACATGATCAAAAGTCTCATTTTTCTCGTTTTTATTTTACTTTTAATTAGTTTACTCAAAACAAAATAACAAGTGACAAGAATTTACAATTTATGAAGGCCACTGAAATCTGGTCTCTAGGTCTTGTTGTGTATTATAATGTATGGAAATTCACTGGTCTGGTCATAATAGTCTTTTGTCTGTTTTGTTTATCAAAGGGATGACAGAGACATGCTCTTCATTGACATTTCTGTCACTCTACGACCCGATGAATGAAAATACAAACCAGTCCCTTCAGACATTTGGTGTGGCAGGATCTAAGATTACTTTCCAGCCACAAGGTGTTTGTGTTGGCAAGGCTGCACCCCATATAGAACTGAAGATAAGTGCAGATACTTCCGGTCACACTGGGAGAATTCTAACTAGAGGACCACATATAATGCTCAGGTATTGGGATCAAACTCTCACAAATCCATTAAATCCAAATAACGAAGCCTGGCTAGACACAGGTGACATTGGATCAATTGATCATTATGGTAATTTGTGGCTCCTTGGCCGAACAAATGGTCGAATCAAGAGTGGTGGGGAGAACATTTACCCTGAAGAGGTAATAGAAGTGTCATTCAACCTGTTTGCCTTATCATAAAGAACAAATTTAAACCAAAAGAATATGCTGCTTTATCACAAATTTTTATCCTTCAAAAGGGACTCATGTTAAAATTACCATGAATCGTAGTTTTCATATCTTGAACAATCAAATAAGATAATAGTTGCTTAAATTAAGATACCAAAATAATAAGAAAAGGTTAATAGTTACCTCTTGATGCCATTGTTTCTTATTTAATTTGAATCCATTTGTATGTCTTTGAAAGCTTCTAAATAAAATGAATTATAGAATTGAATAGAATCTTCTTCTTTCCCAAACTTTAATGGGTAAGTTGCAATCAAGACAAAAAGTCTCCTATGTATGTCTCAAGACATTTATAAAGAAAGTAAAAATCTAGCCTACCCTTTCATGAAGGGTCACAGTAGTTTATTCATGTTTGTTTATGAAGAATCATGTTTATTCAAAACATACTCTTTCATGAAGAGTTGCAATAGTTTCACGCATCATAGATCCTTTCAAGTACATTCACCGTGTAATTCCAATATTCATTGATTACAATATCAATATTTGATGATACCATTCAATTAATGTTATATAAATCAATGGAACATCTAGAACTAAAATTTCTGATACACAAGTAACGTAAAACAAATAATTGGATCAGAATATATGCACGAGGACACTTGCATTCGATCCTCATTGTTGTCATTGTAATATTTCCTACCGATAAAAAGAAGTGTAAAACAAATAATTAATGTACAACATTTCTACTTTGCATGTTCAGAAGTTCATCACCTCTTGCTTCTTTTGCTCAGCTAAAAGTTTATCTTGATTTATGGTATTTACAACTCAATGAAAGTGTGAATATATTGCTTGTTTGAAGTAGGTTGAGGCAATTCTACTAGAACATCCAGGGATTGCTAGTGTTGTTATTGTGGGAATCCCAGATGCAGGCCTGACAGAGATGGTAGCAGCATGTATCCAACTAAGAGAAAATTGGAAATGGTCAGAGCAGTCTTCTTCAGATAAAGAGTTTCACCTATCTAGAAAGAATCTCCAGCAATATTGCATAGAAAATCATTTAAGCAGGTACTTCTCCAAAACCATGTTTGTTAAATTTGAAAGACAATACTTTATAGCAGTGGTATAGTGATGATTTCTTTGGATTCTCCTTTCAGGTTTAAGATACCAAAAATGTTTATTGTATCGAGGAAGCCATTTCCAGTCACAACCACAGGGAAAATAAGGAGAGACCAAGTCAGAAAGGAAATTATATCTCAGCTGCAATCTTTGCATAGTAATCTTTGAATATACCATAGCTCTAGTGCCCCTTAAACCACAGCATGCTTCAACATACTTTAATGCCAAAATAGAGAGGAATGGCTTGAATCCACCAATATTGCAATGATTCCTCAGATACACGACCTCATGTCAGAATGTTTATCAGTTTACTGAGTAGGCGCATTAATTAACTGCAATTTTGTATCTCTAAGAATTTTGTAACGGCACATTCTTTCTCCCCTTCCTTGGTTCTTGTCCTTTCTTGAAAATGTTGTCTTGTTCGTGTACTAAACATGTGTTTGATTCCATTTAATTTTAAGGAAATAAATTCTCATTGATTATCTTTCTGACTTTAATAAATATTTAAACAAAATAAACAGGGATTAAACAAAAGAAAATGGTTGTGAAGCTGGCCTGAAGAATTGAAGAATTTTTATTTGATAAAATTCAAATGTTCTTTCATTTTTATTTTTTTTTTGATAATGAAAAAATTATATGTTAGTGTAAGACAATAATCTATGCAAGGTTAAACTCAATTATCAATGCGATTATAAATTATAAAATAAATCTATATAAAATATGAGAGAAATCGAAATCAATCTGTCATTGAAATGTTCATTCAATTATTATTCAGTTACTATTCGAAAAAAAAAATGCTTGGTTAATGGTGCTCTCTCAGTCACTTGAAAAGTTTTGCTCATAAAATACTAGCACATTAAACATCGTATTGTGTCACCGAAAAAAGGGGGCAAAAAAAAATCTTTGGATTCCATAACACGACCTCTCAAAAAGTTTGGCATATGTTCTTTCTTTTGCAAAAACGTTGTATGATGGCAACTCTCACGAGGTGCTTTTCAGCCTTTTCTGCTTTTCAATTTTTTCCCTTCCTTTGCGATTAAGGATTGACCACAAAATAAGATACAAATCAACACTTTTTTATTTATAAAAATAGCATAACAGAAGAGATAGATGTGCTTTGTAAATTAAAAAGAACTAAGTATAGTATCACTATTCACTAAACCCAGGAAACATGAACATTATTTTTTGTTATTATATTAATGAAAATACGGTGTCATGTATGCACATGGTATCTGTGGGTTCTGATAATAATATGTTGACATCACATGTACTAGGCACAAGTGGTTAACGTTTCACAAAACCAATTTTAACCTTTTTTATGGGTGGAAGTTCTCTCTGTTGACACACTACTATACACGACAATTTGTATTTAAATGAAATACCTTATTTATTGTGTATTATATATATATATAAGGTATAATTTTTTGTAATCAAATTAGTAAAGTAGTCAAATTAATTGGATAATTATTTTAAAACTTAAGTTTATGATAATAATTTATTTTAAAAAATTAAGGTGAATTTATGTGAAATAATATCATTTGGATCTTATGCTTATCATATTCAACTCAATTGAATTAGATCCATTTTTAATAGATTAAATCTTTTTTAAATAATATATTGTAATTTTTTTAATATATATTATTAGTATATAGTGATTACCAGTTTTATTGATAACTATTTATTAAAGAATTTAATTATTTATTTTTAGTATAATTTTTTTAATCATTTTTTATTTTACAACATGTAAATTTGAAATATTATTTTAAAGATTTGAAACAAATTCCATTTTGTATCAATTATATATTGATATATATTATATATTTTATACTATTAAGTTTTTGTTATTATGTTTTGAAGTTATATACTCATTGGCTTTTTGGGAACTTAGACTAATTAGGCTAAGTGAGACAATATTTTCAAATTTTGTTATTATTAAGTAGATTTTCTTTAAAATAGTTCAAACTTTTATAAACCTAGATTAGGTAAATACAATTTTTTCCTTTTTAAAAAAATGAGATAAATATATTGAACTAACTTGTGCATTAATTTTGAAAATAGAACAAATATATTTATTTAAATTTAACCAAACATATTGCAGTTTATCGATGTAGACCTCGTATAGATGAAGACACTAACTAATCTCTCAACACGCCATATATTATGACGATACGAGCATGATGATCATATTACAAACATAAACAGAAAAGATAAACATGGAAACACAAGTACTACAAAAGTATGTGAAGTGAGTGACATACATTATGCATAAGGAATATTTACAAATAGAAAAAACAATAATATCAATGCATGAGATCATTTTAAAAGTTATTATATTTTTTTTATTCATAAAAATTATAATATAATATTTATTTTTATTTTTTTTATTTTTTTTTAAGTTTGTAGTGCAGTGGATAAAAAGTCAAAGAATTGATTAATTAGAACTTGTAGTACATAAAATCATAATCTTTAAGTACAAGGTCAACACCAATAGAATAGGGCAATGCTAAAGACATATTGAGCTCCTTATAAGGCCATGACATGAGGTGTATGAATGATACAAATAAAAATTGAAAGATAAGAGACCCTGATGTTATTAGTAGGTAAAGTTTAGTTACATAGGGTTGTTTATGTTTGAAACCCAACAAATAAAGAATAAGTAACAATGTAAACACGTTTAAAAAATAATAATAACCTATTGTATTAACATGTTTGCTCACTTTTAAAAAAAATGTTAAATTCACAAAATACTCTATTAACAATCACAAAACAAAAGTATTTTAGAGATATCATGAGCTTTTAATATCATGGGTGCAAAATCACTATAGGATCAATATCACGTTTACTTTGTCTATTTTACTAGATTGAGGTGCAACAATTTTTAAATAGCAACATGTACTTGCTCCATATGGCTAAAAGTCACATTTGACTACTATGGTTACTAAAGACAAAAAATGTTTACTGGCAAATAGATGGTGCACTATTGAAACAAAAAACATCAAACAAAACATAAAGACTCTAAAAAATCTTTGAAGTGTTAAATAAATTACACACCAACTCAATTATTGGGCATTAAATGTAGAGTTAAAAGATAGATATTTAGGTAGACAACAAAACTTGATTAATTGATAATTTATACAAATGGTAAAGATTCCAAAATTCACATCATGGCAAGGCAAAGATAATAAAAGGAAAAAAAATTGTGAGATAAAGGCTCATCATGTAATAGTAGAAGAAAACTAAACAAACTTTTAAACAAAAATAAAATGCTTTCTCTCTCTTGTCTAAAGTATAGCCTAAAAATATTTTTTATATATAAAAAATAAATTTATGGGTCAACTCGTTTCACCCACTTCCAACCTACTAAGTTGGTAAGTTATGCAAGGTTGGTGGCTTAATCATCTAAACAATCTCAACTTTCATTATAACTTATATAAATTAATTTAGTGTGTTTAAACTCGTTACATTCTTGTCAAGACATAATAATACAAAACACTTTGTATTCTTTATCACTTATCCCTATCCAGGTATAATTTAGTGTCATCATGTTTTTATTTAAAAATAGTTTTACAAGTTTTTTTTTAAAGTAACATGAAATATAATAATTTGGTCCCATTGTGTCAAACATCCTTAGTCACAATACAATAAGGAACAAAACACACTTGTTAATTATTAATAGGAAAAGGCATTATGTTTCTCTGTTTATATAAAAAAAAATTAAAAGAGTGATTAATTAGAGTTTTACATAGAAGTAAAAAATAATAATAACAATTTAATAAAATGATAGTAATACAAAGGGGTTTATAGGTAGTTATTAAAAGGAAAAAATAGTTCAAGAGGTTGTGTATAAAAAACAACCTATTATCTTTATATATTATTATAATTATAGTCGACATAACAATTAAAAATAATAAAAAAATAAGTAAATTTTTAATTTTATGGGCACGTTTTATATGTGAATTAAATTTCTAATGCCACACATGGATATTTAAAGCATTAGAGATGATTTATTTCAAAAGAAAAACATGTCTTTCAAATGAAATAAATGATTATCATGTGAAGAAAAAAATACTCTTATAAATATACTTTTTCGTGATTCATAAAAAATATCTTCTATAATTTAAAATAACTATCAAAATTGTGAGAGTTTTATTCTCCTTACTTTCTCATGTTTAAATTTTTTTCTAATAGATAAAGGTGGATGTAAAAAGGTATGAGTAACCTGTAAATTCAAATTGATCTAAACTTGCTAAAATGAGTTTAGAACAAAATTTTGTGTGTTTAGGTTAAACCCGACTCGACTTGTTTAAAAATTTGACACTATATAAATCGAATAATAAATTTTGTATTTTTTTATTTTGCAATTTGACATAGTCATATATAATAACATAATATAATAATAATTTAATGTGATTACTTGTTCAGTACAATATTCACTATTACTTTTGCTCTATAATAGGTTTTATGTTTTTTGATTAATAGTATTGAAACAATATAATATATTTATTTTAAATTTTATTTTATACTAATGTTTTTTATTTGAGGTGTGATATTAATGTAGCAAATCCACAAAATTATTTTAAATTTTAGTTCATACCATTATTTGTTTTATGGATTGATAACGTTGTATTTGCAACAATATATAAAATTATTTACATTTATTATAAAACATTTAAATTTTTATAAAAAAAATAAATTTAATTATATTGACTCGATTGACCTAGTCAAATTCAATCTATTGGCATTCATGATTAGCTTAGATTAGGTTGAATTTTAAAAAACGAGGCATAACTCAATACAATTAAACTCGTTAAATTTTGATCAAGTAGACTAGTAAATTCATTCAAACATAACTAAAATCAATCTGTTTATGTAACACCTTAAATACACTAGAAAAAAGAAGAATCAAATGATCTATATAGGTGAGAGACTATGCAATTGATGATGACTTAAAAAAATTATTTTGTATTAAATATATAAACAATGTGCATTTATTTTTTGGTAACTCATTACATAAGAATTTTATGGTTAATTGTGTTTGACTTTGAACAATTTAGGAATATGTAACATTTTGAAAAGTTTATAATTTGAATAATCTTGTATTTTTATGTGAACAATTCTTAAAGATGGTCTAACATTTAAAAAATGACAACCTATAAAGAGTTTTGAGTGATAAATGGTTATAACCAATGGGAGACTATATGAAATGTCACTTCACAAAATGAAATCATTGAGACATTATCTTTAAAGGATGTCATGACTTACAAGTTACACCCCTAAAAGGTTGGACTATATTATCTTTCTATGCAAATATTATTTAAACAAAATTCTCATAAAATTACCTTTTCCTACTAATTTAGATTTCTTCATCTCTTTTCTATTTTCTTTATCTTTTCACTGATTTCTCCATCTATTTTCTGACTCAAATTATTATGTCTTTCTCATTTTAATTCTCATAGGAGTTTTCTTCGACAATAAATTAACT